GTAGTGGTAGTGGTAGTGGTAGTGGTAGTGGTAGTGGTAGTGGTAGTGGTAGTAGTCAGTGGAAGTAGTAGTAGTCTTAGTAGTGGTACAAATTAGTTGTCGTTGCAGCTATTCTTACTTTGTGCTATCCAATGCCCTTAAATCGTCCTAACCCACCTCGTGCCTGACCTCATAATTCGTGCCTGTTCACCTCGTTACCTCGGCTGGGGTCGCTCTAATTTGCGCAGCACCATGACAAAAAACATGACACAGCACAGGCACACCATGACACCCCACAAGATCACGTGAAAAATAACGGCAAGCGACGGTAAAAGGTTGTAACTGCAACTGGAAAGATCTCTACTTACCGTGATGAACAGGGTGTTTCCGGATTGACTCACTTCTAAATATTGCTCGAAACACATCAACAAAAACTGAGTGAAACACAAGCGGCAGGCTGAATGTGCAATTTGCAGAAGAGAAGGAACACAAGGAGATCTCTCACTCACATTAAATGCTAGCTCCACTGATGGAGATGAGAACCATGATTGGACCCATTCAAGCAACATGAGAACCATGGGCCACTTAGTTTTGTTAGGTTCTAGTGGCACTTTGCCTTCTAAATCTTTCAGTGCAAGCTCGAAAGCACTAACTCCACAGAATGCCTTCGCACAGCCACCTTCTTGTTACCCCCCAAATCGTTTCATAGCCGAGGTACAGCTCCAACTGTCTCCCTCGGACATCATCTCTGTGCCAGACTTAAAGCAATCCCATGAGCCGACGATACCTGGATGGTGAGAGAAGCACAAAGCTTAACATGCGGCCTGGCACCTTTGGATTGTATTGAAGGGACAGGTGTAGGGGCGTGAGCCTCCTACAGGCGATTGGTATCGTTAGTTGTTTCTTACCTTTTAGCTCTATTTCTGTATTGGCCCTCCAAAGTTGAGCACGAAGCTCTATTGCGGCCGTGTAGGGTTACCTTGGTGGGTGATCCGGAGAATCTTGTTTGCCAAACAGGTGTTCTCCAAAGTGGATGATAGAATGCAAATGATGCATGGCCATTGGCTAAACTAATCAGCTGGGTTTCGATCGAGCATCCGAATAGCCTATGAACAACAGCTGAGTATCACAACATCAGGAACCAGAACAACGCAAACTCTCTGCGGCCTTCCATCTGGGTTCTTTTCAAGCTAGTTCCAAGCGGCACATGCCGGCATCTGGACGGTCCAAAGCAACCTCTTCGGGCGGGCTCATCTGATATTTCCCCTCGTAGAGGCTGCTGTTGTAGTCATAATTGTCCTTGTGACAGCAGCGTGATCGAACCTACGCACTGCCACTCGTTGAGAAACCGCACCGTTCTCCTCTCTGGAGACCGTTCTCCATTAAGCCCTGAACATGGGACTCCAAGCACCTGCAGGTGTGCCTCCCAAGAAAAGAAACCTCTTTGATTGGAATTGCTGAGTGCAAACATGTGTCCAATAAGTTGCTTGTTCTAGTTGGGATCTCAACTTCTTTGAGTCGAACAAAAAGCTCGCTCAATCCACGCGGCACGTTCACAAACCATCAACATAGAACCCTGAAGCACTGATGATCTCTGATGGTTCTTTTCTGCAAATCAGTCGTTGTTTTCACCTTTCGAGGGCAGTTTAGGTGCAACAATCGTGAAAACCAGGCTGAAAGCCAACAGATCAAAACCGCGCATAAGTTCAGACAACCCCAGGTTTTTTCTTTTCCTGGATGGAGCCAAGATTCAAACTCATCGCGGATGTTGTCGCAGCGATATCTGCCTCTATTCCGGAAGATCCGAGACCCCGAAGTGGGCACTTCTCGTCCATCGATGTAATGCATCGGGCCCTCATCGATGGGGCACTGGACCACCACGTAGTCCACCTTCTCCAGATTCACCTGAGATCTATGTCATGAAAGGTCAGGAAAGGTCGGCAACCTCGTGAGGGTGAACACAGGTGATGAACTTCTGCAAAAAGGCCGTCTGTGTCGTCTGAACTTCTATCGTCTGTGTGGCTGAAAAGGATACGCCTTGATATTAGCCGATAGATCAACAAGTGATTCAGTGATAGTGTGGCTTCTGCGATTCAGTGTCGCCCCCGGTGGGTTGGAACCAGGGGTGCTGAAACATATTGGAATACGTAAAATGGTCTCTTCCCCCTTCCATCATATCTCAGGGGGCCAATGAATCGGTTTGTGTCCATACGCAGAGGACAATAACGCCCGATTCATTCTATCATGGACTCCACCTTCGAAGTGTTGAAGTCCTGGTCACAGGACTTACTCACAACACCCTGCAGTTCAGGTTCACAGCGAAAGATTGTTTTGTTTTCTTTGGGGCAGGTGCAATCCCAGACTTTGGTGTTTGGGCGGACCAAATAACGTATGAAACACCGAAAGGTCCACCTGATGCAGCCGGGGTTTAAAAAATACGCACTAAACCAATACAGGAGCAATTCTTCATGAATTCCTGTGATTTCACTTGCCACTACTTCAGGTTGCCTAATTGCCAAATGAACCTTCTTCATCATCTCCAAGCTGCTCTGGAGCAGCCTCATGACTGAGGACCTCCCAAACCCGAAACATCCCGTGTTTTTCTCCTTTTGACCTCCTTCTTCACCGGGCCCTCTCCTCCTCTCCGCTCCCCGGCCTGGCCCGGCTTCCGGGGCCCCCTCGAGGCGATCGCGAACACGTCCGCGCGGGCGTTGGCGCCGCCGAAGCCGAAGGAAGAGACGCCGGAGTAGCCGGACTGGTTACCTCGAAACGGAGGTGGTGTGTGGGTATGCCGGAGTAGCAGGTACCTTCCCTTTGGAGCAGGAGAGAGGGAAAGCTTTGAGGCGGAAAGACACGCCGTAGGTGGCTCCGGCTCGGTGAGCAAGGTCTTGTTGAAACTGGGGAGTTAGAGGAGGACATTGAGGACATGCTGAAGTTGACTGCTGCTTGGCAGGATGCTGTTCTAGCTTGGCCTCAACGGGTCGCCCAAGTAGCAGGGTCCACAACGGGTCGAGCTAGTTTCTGGCCAAGAGACATAAGCTCTGGAGACACACACACACAATAAAACCATTGGGAAATCGGAACTTCAACGATCGTCAGATGACTCAGCTTGTCTACTTCGATCGTTTGACTATGATCCACAGATCAGTTGACTTCCTACCAGAACTCTGCAAGCTCTGCGAGCTCGGTACCATACTCTGCAAGCTCGGTGTTGAACACGGTGGGATAGCCGTTGATGTCCAGATGTGGATTCAAGATGTAGAGGTGGCAATTCGGCGTTCCGGCGCAGCTGTTGCACATCAGCATACCTGAAACAAAAGGTGAATGAAGAAAAGAAAGGAGATCAATCTCCCTACAACTAATGTGGGGTGAACAAAAACGAATTGAACATGTGCCAGTTTTCTAGGGGATGTCGGATGTATGGCGTCAAATGATATCAAAACCAACAACGGGTAACAACGGGCAACTCTATACACGACTTTGGGATGTCGATGTCCATTGGTGCACCCCTGGCATGTTGAGAGGACTCCTGAGCTTTCTGGTGGCTTTGAAGATGGACATGATGAAACACATACCATCACAGGAGTGTAGTTTTACGTACCCGAAACATGCTTTTTCATTGATCTCCTGCACATTCATCCAAACAATCTGACCGGCAGAAGAATATGATCGTCCTAACTGAAAGCTTGGGTGTCAAAGTCTAAAAGCATAGGTAGGAGTTATATCCCATGTCCGCCTGCTTTGTTCCTGTCGGACATCTCCAACCAAAGACATCCCAAAACCATGCTTTGGCGTGACGAATGTGTACTTACGAACCCGTGGACGTGCAAATGACGCATTGCGTGGTTTCGTTGACCGGTCATGCTGCCGTGCACCGAGGGCCTCCGAAACAAGCCTCGTATGACTCCTCTTCATGGACGCTTTTTTTCTTGTCGCTCGTGCGGAAATCCACATGCTGAGGCACACTTGATGATTCCAGCCTGTCCAGCATTCGCCTCCAGGTGCCCAATGTGGCTCTTGGCCGAAGTTTGCATGATTGGGGCTTTGCGGTCCTGCCCGATCAGCCACGCGGATGCTGTGGACGTGCGCTGTGGACTGCCAGCGCTGTGCCAGAACGAGTTGGACCCAAACAGGATTGCATGACCAGTGTGAAATCCAAGTGAAGCACCCTTGTTCACCACTGGTTTTGTAAAGGACACAACAATTCAAGGTTACATCATCAAGTTCTATGATCTTTGGGCATGTGCACAGGCGATGGACAGATACTTTTTCTGTCTACATGTTCCATCTATTCTCAGGACATCTGGTCTCAAAACCCCCATCTTCCCCTATCCAACCTCCACCCACCTCTTCACCTCCACCCCTTCGCGCGGTTTCTGCCCCCTCTTCAGCTCTTCTTCCTCTAAACCCCCCTTGCTCCCTGCTCGCTCCTGCATGACCCCCTTCAAGGCGCCCACTTCGATGGGATCTCCCAGCGCGGTACCGGTGCCATGCAGCTCGGAGCACGTGATCTGGTTGGCCGTCAAGCCCGCCTCGCGCATGGAGCCGCGCACGCACTCCTGCTGCGAAGGGCCATTGGGCGCCGTCATGCTGGCGCTCCTGACGGAGGGACCAGGGCGGTGGAGGTGGAGGACTGGAGGACGGTGGAGGACGGGGTATTTGGTTGAAAGAGGTTGGAAGGCAGTTACTGCACCGTTCTTTGCTTTGTCATGGATGTGCCGTCTTTATTGGCAGGATCTGGTAGATCCTGTTGAAATGGTAGGGTGAACGATCACATCTCTATTCTCGGTGCAAGATCTCTTTTTGATTCTGCAAGCAAACGGGTTGAATCACCCAAACCTGGATTTTCTCAACTCTGACCAGCGCCCTGCCCTGCCAGCGCCGTCCTGCCATCTTGGTTCAAGCAAGCACCGATCACCGTGGCCAATGCTTCTCTGGGCACACTTTCTTCACTCCGTGCAAAGAAGCACGAAGAGCCCTCGCCGCGTTCGAAGCCATCCGCGGACATGTCAAAGGTGAAACATCGCCCAGCCACAGACAACATATGAGGTCCACAGAGGTTGATGTAATTCCCGGGACCTGGCGTCAGGTATTGTCAGGGTGGAACTGCCAAACATCTGTGAACTCAGATGCCTGGACCAGGTGCTCCGTAGTGTGCTCCGATGGCATCATGGTCGACAAAAAAGCAAACTTGATATGTACATCTCCATTCACCATTACATAATATACACATATATATATATATATTATAATTGATTTGATGGAAAAGCACAGTTCCAAACTAAGCACCACTGCCTGGTGCCCCCACGCCCCCACGCCCAGCCTGGAATGAGGTTGGCCCCGCCCATCAACGCTTCGGAGATGTCGGAGTTCGCGCCCGCCATTGGCTGATCCAGCATGCTTCGCCGTAGCGCGGTGTGTCCTGAACGGGGACCCGATGGGATGGGACGACAAAGGATGTGGATTTGGAGATATTTTGGGTGTTACTAGCAAGTTACTAGTAGCTTCTTGCTACTAGTAGTTATTGGCCTCCTAGCAATGGCCTCCAACCTAGTAGCTTCTTGCTACTAGTGTGGAATACGGAGACCACCTGGCGGCTGGGTAGACTGGTCTATGCTCCGAACTGAAGGGCGCGTTGACACCAAGCCCAGAAATGCCCAGTACTGGTAGCGTGAGTCTGAGAGGATGACATGTGCGGGGGAATCCGTCCGGTTCATGGGAGAACTATGACTGGGAATGCCCAGTGGTCTCTTGACTATCTGTACTCTGTCACAAGACCTGCTAGAAACGTTCGTGGTCCCCATCAATGTTCCTGCAACCCGTCTGCCATCTAGTCTTCTGAACTCACCACCCAACGAAAAGCAAAGACTAAACACAACTTCCTGTTGAGCTTTTGCGGGTCATAGATCAAAACGGATTCCATTCAGTTTGCATCTTGGAAACCCTGAAACCATCCGTTTCGCTCGGCTTTTTCCACCTCTCTTTGAACACCGCCTCCGTCACTCACCCAGACATCGACCGCCGTGCGTTTTCTCCATCGCTCCTACACCGTAGGCCACTAGCGCGGAGGAGCACGCAGTGTCGAGCAATGCCTGGGGCCCCTTCAGGCCCAGGATATATGCGATACGACCTGGCGACACCACGCGGAGTTGAAAAAGATGTGGATGCGACGGATTAGATGCTGAGGAGTTGCACAGGGGCGAGAGGATGTTTTTGAGGAGTCGTGGATGAGTGAGTCGAGGACTTGCGCAAATTGAACTTGCGCAAATTGAAAGAGTGATTGAAACAAACTCCGTAGCCATTTTGGATCAAGCCACCAGTTTGCTCCAAGTGCCTTGACAGGCTTAGGCTTAGGGTGAGAGCACAGCAAACCAGGCGCTCACTTGGCAACCCTGGCCCGAACTTAGGAGCTGACCAAACAAGAGAAAAGGTGTTTGGTTTGTCTTCGTTTAGGGAAAGTATCCACTACTACTGAGTGAATAGAATATAATAGAATGGGCTTTCTGGGTAACATGGCAATCACGTGAAATGGCAGAAAAACACACCTTTCTTGAGAGCAGCCAATGGGCTCTTTGCTGTCCAAAAACCTGTCCCGTCCCAACTTCAGATGCATCCTTGGTGAATCCATGGGAGAGAGTCAGAGACTGAAGTCACCAGTCTGATCCCAGCTGCAACCCACAAAAACGTCACGTGATCGCTTCATTTTTGTCTTCACGAGCTCATGCCATGCTTCCTCTACATCCATTCACCCTCAGTTCCTTGGGCGTCCCACCGGTCAGTCCCCACCGGTCCCCACCACTGGCGCTCCGAGGTTCCCAGGCGTGCCCAGGGGACCCCTGCCGTGCCCGTTCGACGGACGCGCGCGCCCGCGCGCCCGCGCGCGCGCCTGCGATGCAGGACCACTTCCTCGCCTGGTATCCAAACCTCGATGGTTGGCAAAAGCGCGACACACACGCGACACACGTGGACACACGTGGGCATGGCATGGCTTTTCACAGCCGTTGGGTTGCGTGCATGGCATTTCTGATCATTTCTGCACTCCACTGGGTTTCTCGCATGTCACTCGTCCCTTTCTGGAGCTCCTTTTTGAGGGCTAGGGGTGCACAAGCATACACAGTCTCCATGAACGAAGGTCATTATGGTCATTGGTCAACAGAACAGCCGGGGATGCTAGTGAAAGGGGGGTGTAAGCCGTAAGCTGGCATAATTCCTCTCCAAGGGGGTCATGAACCTCGGATTCTACCCACACACCAGCTTTCTTCTTCGAACTCCAACAAACAGCTGCTTGAAGCTGAGCTTACTTAGGTGCTATGATGTGCTATGACCACCTCCACACCTCTGCCCAGCTGGGCCCAGCTGGGAAGCTTGGTTTGGACCCATGGAACACTCAGCTGGTTTCGTTTCTCAAGTTGCCCAGGAGCTTGTGCATGTCTTCACCGCCAGAGGTGAACCTAGGATCCACGCTCCAGTCATCACCGGAGTGACCGATGTAGACACCCATGCGACGTCCGTGGACATCTTTCCTTGACACGCCCGAGTTGAACAAGGCCTGCCGAGTTGAACAAGGCAGAGATGGGTCTGACCCATCGCAGGGTGGCAACGGTTTGGGCCTGAAAAAAGGCACAGAAAAGGAAAAGCAGGACAGTTCTTGAAACAAAATGCATGCATCTTTGGCAACCGGTACAGAAAAGGCTGGGCATTACCCTGAAGACACATTTCGCCGTGGCATCATGCTGTTAACATAACAATGCAAAATACAAGAGCTGCATAGAGTTGGTAATCCTCCTTTTCTGGCCTCGTAGCTCCTCTCTAAGAGCTGCTTATTCGCAGGAGCCAAAAGCCAGGCTTCCTGCTCTGGCACATTGAAGAAGTCGTTGTCAAAGCTAAAAATGTCCTCTCGTCTGCGAGAGAGAAGTGCGGTGGAGCTGCGGAAGGATCTGGGACAAAACCAAGAAATGCGGGCCATTGCACTTGCTGGGAATAGCACAGTCTTTCAGGTGAGCTATCTTTAAGCCCACGTGGGGCTCTTATTCTATCGTAACTTAATAGGAACATGAGTCAACCAAAGGAATCGCCACCCATGAGTACATCTTTCCATTGCTTAGTACGAATGGAGCTTGTAAGCTCCGTGTACTTCCTCCAAACTCCTCAATCAGTGAATCCCGCCGCTTGATCAGTCTTGCATAGTCTTGCTGCTTGGCAAGTTCAGGTCTGCGAGGTTGTTTTTGACAGGGACCCCGGAACGGTGGCTTGCCATTTCAACTTCGAAGTTGGCCTCCTGAAGTAGAGTGGGGTCAACTGCACACTCTTTGCAGCCGCCCTATGTCCTATAAATCCACTCTTGCAAAGGAATAGCCAGTTGAGATTTGACCCACACCAAAGTCAAGCCACATTCTTGGGCAGCATCTCCGCTGTACAAGGCCTGGAAAAAAATCCCTCCGATGTCGAAGCACATCTGGTAAACCCAACATGCGGTTGTCAACTTAGACACTTTAGATGACACCGCAAGACAAACACTTTGATAGTGATGACACTTGGTCAACATGTGTTTGACTCTTTGACACTTTAGACATCGCAAGTCAGCGGTCCTTTGAGGCGAATTTGGATCTACGGACCGAGCGGATCGGTCGGTCAGCGTTGCTCGGTCCGAATCGCAGGACCCTTGAAGGGATGGGCCATAAGGATTCACGCATGGGTCGATTCGCCCCCAAAAATGGCTACACAGGTGTCAGATTCCTGCCTGTTTTTGCGTTCCTTGGGCTGAAAACACGGGATTTGGCGAATGCAAAGACTCTTTCGCACCCAGCAGTCCTTGCAATATCCTCCATGGATGGTGTAGGTCCACCCAATTTGCCAGTCATCTCCAGTCCTTGTGTATTGATCGATGTCAAAGCGCTCAATTGGGGCTTTGACGTAGCCATCCGTCCCAGCTGCAATACCTCACTAGCCGTGGAAGATAGAGGTATCCATGTCTGGCTGGTCTCTGCTGTTCATTTGGGGTGGTCAACCTGACCATGCCCATGATTATCCATTCTTTCTTTTGGATGGATGGTCCGTTTTGACTCCTAGAAAGGAAAGCAAATGCACGATTTCGTGGGTTGGACATCCAAATCTTCTGAAGCGTAAGTGAAGTACCACACCAATAGTGCGCTAGGTAATCTTGCGCAGCAGCTGGCAGTGATACGCCCACGCCGAAGACGCAGATCCTGGTTCAGCGACTCAAAGGCCGTTGAAAGACAAAGCCCACCCCGGCCACACAAAGCCCTTGAATTCAACGGATTCCGAGCAAGAGGAGACCTTGAAAGCAGACCTTTTCAAACAAGTTGACACGGGCACATTTGGCTGGTTACACCAACCTGACCAAGCAGTCCACGCAGTCCTGCGCCCTTCTGGGGTGTTGGGCCCGGCAACCAGTCCGAAGGCTTCATCTTTGGACTTTTGATCTCCTTCTGTCATCGCAACCTGTGGAGAGTTCTGAAGAAGCTAAGAGGTTCCTCCAACGATCAGGGTGTGGCCCCTGGACAAAGCACCAAAGGAGCTAATACTGAAGCTCAGGAAGTTAAGGTGGTTGTTTGGAGCGACCGTAGTGCAAGGGCCTCAAAGGCATATCTATGAAATCTTCTGGCTTCTCATCTCTCTTGTGTGTGTGCGTCTTTTTTTGCCAGAGTTGCGCTGCGTTCGGAACCATGCTCACTTCTCCACTCAAAGACTGAACACTAAACTCTGCAGAATCCTACTCAACGAAACCCTTTGCACAAAAGACGCAAAGCCCTTGCACGCGCAAACCGCGCCCGCGCAGTGCTTCACGTTTCCAGCGCGCAGTAGCTGGTCGCGTCACTGTCGACATGAAGCCACAGGCTCAAAGGCGAAGGTTCTACTTGTAGCGTCCTTGTTACTAGTAGCAATGCCCTTGTTACTAGTAGCTTCTTGTTCCTAGTAGTAATGCCAGGAGCTACTAGTAGCGTCCTTGCTACTAATGCAGTTGGGATCTCTGGGGCTGGGAGTCATGGCACCTGGTGCCCTGAAGTCTCCCTGGTAGCTTGATCTCCTTGGTGGTCTATTCTGTTCATTTTCGTTGGTTAAAATCAGGATCCCCCGGTGCCACCATGTGCCACCCACACTCACATCTTGCCTGGATCCGTCTGTTCCCGAACCGTCCAGCCCACCCGCGCGTGAAGAACCCGCGGCGAAAACAGCCCACCCCTTCGCGAACGGCCTGAAATTGCGCTGGCGCCGTCAGCACCCAACCTGGGAATCGGCCCGTCTCGAGTTCTCGAGTCACTGATCGGAGTGGTTCTTCACCTTTCCATCCCTCAGGTGTAAAAGGTCACTTGCGACTTAGGCCTCTAAAAGGTCACAAACAGAGACGAACACAAAAGGTCATGAACTGAAGAAGCTGGTCAGTGCTTTTAACTTTACCTTTTGCTTTATAGAATGCGAGTTCAGAGGATCGAAACAGCTCGAGTTTTGATCCACACCGGGGTCGGAACAGGGTGGGAAAACATGGCAGGCTGTGGCTCAAGCGAAGGTACCAGCTATATAGTAGTACCAGCAGGATTTTCAGTCGTGGGTGGGGCAAAAGATCCTTCTAGGAGCACAAAATAAAACAAGCCAGAACTAGCTTGGCGGAACTGCACCGCACAAATCATCAAGGGACTCCAAAACAATTGCGGGACTCCCTTCTTGTGAAGTCCCAAAGTGGAAAACTCCCACTCCACAAGATATCATGAGATGACTATTTTTGGAAAACAATCAGGTCCCAACTCATAAAGAAAACAAATAAAACAGCTCCTCCTAATTGATACTTCACCTCGATGAAGGTTTCAAATCGAGGATTGGAAGTCGGGTAAAGACTCCGTTGAAGGCTAGAGAATCCACAAGTATCCAAGAGGAAATGCACAAGACTCTGCTGTATCCTGTTCACGTGATATCTGTAGAGAAGCCAGTCCACAAAGTGCTTTTCATATATTAATGGGCCAAAAATCACCACAATGGAAGGAATTTCTCCAAAACTGGAGGACCAAGAGTGTGAAACAACTGCGCCAGCAAGAAGCGTGCCTTCATGTGCCTTCCTCGTTCCTTGCCATCCTCATTTGCTCGTCTGATTTACTCCCAAACAAGTCAATAAACAAGGCTTTGACCACACGTTTCAAGCCGAATCTTTGATCTGGACCATCGTTTGAACTTGAGAAAAGGAAGATCGGTCAGGGAGGCTTCCAGGTATGAGGAACAAGGCTTGTGGGCTTTATGATCCTTTCGAGCTTGCCTGGAGAATGGTCAAATGATCTGTGTCTCGGAATGTTCTCCCAACCTCTCTAATTGCTTTGAAACTGCCCGTTTTGGTAGTTAGGACCCGAGCATTTCAAGCGCACTAGGAAGAGTAGCCAGATTGGGAATGTCATCCATGCTTCTCTGGTTTCCGCCAAAACTAGTGTAGTGTGCCATGCGATGTTCGGTCTTGTCTTGTGGATGTCCATTTGGACCCAAACGGACCCTTCCACCATGATTTGCTATGTTCCAAGCAACCCTGTAGAACCAAATCCTCCTCTGAGTCAGGGCGGTAGGCGTAGCTAATTCGATCGTGGCGGAAGATCACGAGGCGTCCCGCTTCGGCGCTCAAGGTGACTTGATCTCCATCCTTTGGATAGAGAGAAAGCCTCAGAGCTACTAGGAGCAAAGAGCATCGCAACTAGGAACAAGAAGCTACCAGCAGCTCCTGGCCAGGCCTCCTGGCATTACTACTAGTAGCAAGAAGCTAGGAACGGAGCAAAGAGTGTCCCCTTCGATCCAATGAGGGGCGACATCGGACCGTCCGGTGTGCGACATGGGTGCGACATGGCGTGTCAAAGCTGGGGTCTATATAGGTGGACCCTAAAGCCTGAAGAAGCCAGAATCCCAAGCTGGAGAACCCGACTTACGGTTCTAACGTCCCGTTCTTCCCTTCGATAGATCAACCCAACAATGCCCAAGGTGCGGATGAATTTGCTAGCAGAGAATACGCATCTTTGCCAAAGTTTGGTGATATCTTTGCATTTCACCGAGACAAAGGAACCGCGAAGAGTAAATGAAAGCAATGCATCCTGCTTAATTCTCATCAGGAAGCTCCGATCCACCCGGCCTACCCCAAAGGTCAAGTACTCTTGAGTACTCGAGTGTTTCGACTACGGCGCACTCCGACAGCACGCCCCGCACGGTGCTCCGTCACAGCGCTTCAAGGTCTAAGGAGCTCTCCGCCACTTCCATCCACGATGAGGAACATGCAGAGCTTTCGGCGCCTTCGGGTTGGGTTTGGAAGATAGGAGACTTCCAATGAAAAAGAACGGCCCACCTCGGAGAATTCAACCAAAGGCATAGAGCCCGATGATGAGATTTCTACTCGGTGGGTGTGTTATATGGGCCACCCGCAAACCACGATTGCTCCATCTTTTTTGAAATGGGGAACACATCTCATCAGAACATCTTACCTGACGGACTTATTGTAGGATACTTCCAAAGCACCAAAGCAACAACCATGATCAAGTCTCACCAACACGGAAATGGACACCCCCCTGAACATAAAAGGAGAAGAGTGTTCATCCCAATTCCATCCACCGATGTGAGTGCAAGTGTAGGACTGACACAAACCCCAGCCTCAAGAAGTCCACGTGCTCATCCACTAAGCCCTTGGCGATGTCTTCCTCGCTCACGGTTTCTGCCACAGTCAACTGATCTGAGGTGGCAGGGATCCGGAGCATGCCAGAGGTACGGCTGTGCGGCATGAAGTCCAAAGCAAAGGGTGCCACCTTGGTCCACGCGACACGCGACGCCTGCGCCACCTCCTTGGTGTGGCTCCAACCCTCATGGCCCCCACCCCATGGCACCCATCGGGTTTGTAGTCTTCCCAAGCCTTCCCGGTACATCGGTGGACTGTGGACTAGTACTCCTCTGTTTCCAGGCTTTCCAAGACGGCACATGATCTGAAACCCTTGGCAAGAACAGCTTCCCCCCAAAAGCGAGGACATCGGATTTCGACACCTGGGAGGTGTTGACTTGGCCAGCTTTCTTGGAATCTCGGCAAAACAGCTGCAAATCATTCAATTGGCGAACAGCAAGCCAGCAATTTTCAATGAACTTGGATTCTTCGAAGGCAATAAAGCTTCCGCCAGTCCAAAGTACGATGAAAGCTCATTTTGTGAACTATTCGCATTCCAACAGGCTCCAGGAAAACCGTCAAACCGAGTGCAGCTGAACACAGCCAAGCTTTGCTGGGTTGGCTGAAATCCTTTCAGAGCCAAGCTTCAGGTAGCAGAAACTGTGTAAAGCGAGCCAAATACAAGTCCAGTGGATCAATTGGAGTGTCCTGAGACGTCTCACGCGAGCACACACCGACGCGCCAAGCAAGCGAGCTCCCTGCGAAAAAAGAACACACACGCACTGCCAGGTCGTTTTCGTCCTGCTCCATGCTTTCTCAAAACAACCAGGACAAACCCAGGACAAACGACCAGCCTTTTCTTAGCAAACTCAAGGGCCTGGACAATTGTTTCAACATCTTAGCACATGGGCGTGTATTGGTACAATTAGAATAGGGATACACCCGAAAGACTCCCTGGAAGAAGGAACATCGACCACAACTCATTCATGGAAAGTTCCCTATGTTTCCCTCTTCACATACAAAGCCACATCCAAAAACCAACAAACACACCAACATGGTGGGCCCTGATTTTAGGCCCCAAGACGGACATCGGTCAGACCGACTGTTTCACGACCGTTCTCTCCTGTTCGGTCCCTTAAAAAGAACACCTGAGACGTCTGGTTGGGGACGATCTGGAGTCGCAGATCGGGACGGTCTGACTAGGCTGCGCACCATTTCTGGCTTCTCTTCGACCATCTCATCGAGCCATGCAGTTTTGCATTTCCTAGGCTTGGACCCCGTTCTCGGTGGATCTATGGCAAGACGACAAGACGGCATGTGTCCAACACAGAAATCCGAAAGCAAATAAACATGGTGGAACATTGTGATGGTCGACTTCGGGAGCTTTTCTTAGGCCCCAAAAAGTGCCCCCCCAAGGCAGCCGACTTTTCTTTGGGGAGTCAGCTGTTGGGTCTTGGGCCTTTTGACCAGCTTGAAATGCGTCTTGCAGAGACATTGTTTCAAAAATAGGACTGGCCAACTCGGTGGCTTCAAGGGCACCTGAAATGACTGAAAACAGTCTGAAGTGCAGTCTGAGTATCTGATGCTTTCCCACATATGCTGGTTCAAACTCGCGGCGCAGTCGCTTCCATCGAAACCTGCGGTATTTGGGGTGCTCCCAACAATGTCCAGAGATCTTGGAACACCACCATACATACACACGTACTATAATATATATATATAGTATGTATATATGCATGAAACTCGACCCTTTGAACGTTCTCAGTGTGGGTGTTCGACCATGTTCCACCGCTCGTCACGTGGGAAAGCATCGCAACTCCCACCCCGGCTTCGCCGCGCCGCGCAGTGCCGCGCCGCGAAACGCGCTGCGGCCTACCGCACTTCACTTCAACAGCAGCCTCGGAGGTCATGTCCTCACCTGAGTGTCTGTGGTGGAAGCCGCGGCACCGCCCCGTGCGGTCTCGAAGCCAGACTGCGAGACGGTGGGACGAAGCCCGCGAGACTGGGGTGCCTTGTTGAAGTCTCAATGTGATGGGAAGTAAAGGACTGGAAAGAACGAAAACACCACCGTGCTCAACCCGTGCAAATGACAACAACTCACCCCTGTGGACTCTTTTTGGTGCCTCGTGTGGATGCAAATCCATCAGACCTACTGAAAGTCATTTCACCCTATGATGAGTATGCAAGCGACGTGAAGTCTTTAAGTTTCACGCTTCTTTTCGCCACTTTCGCACCCCTTTCCTGCACAAATATCTCCTTGGGTCCCCAAGCTGAGAGGAAGCTGTACTACGCAGTAGCCCTCCTTGGCGAGAGCCTCTACAGCCGTAGCAGTGAAACCTGCCAGCGCCTCCATGTTGCCTGGCACGCGGTGCACAGGCCGTGAAACCGCCCCACCACCCAATCATCAAGCGACAAGAGAATGTAAACACAAACACCAAAACCTGGTGCTCATACAGAAACATCTATATACTATCAATGGATGCTCTATGATGATTTATAACTTGGCATTCCGAGTACAGAATCACAAGCAACCGATCTTTTCCACCCCACCGGGCCCCCGAAGCCGAAGCGGCGGGTTCCTTCAACCCATCGTCCAGTGTCCACCCGTTCCGGCCTTCTGGAGGCCATGCCACATGAAATCCGCCCCTCTCAGGGTGCTGCGGCGCAAACTCCTTGTCGGACCATCGGACCCGGACGGTTCCGCAGACACCGGGGACCGGGGACGGTTCGGGAGAGCCGAACACACCGAACACACCGAGGACAACGCTGAGAGATGGTCCCTTGGAAGAGCTACAATATGTCTCTGTATAAGCTGAAAAGGAGGACCTGTCGAGCCAGAAGAGGATGCAGTCGTCCCCTAATCGTGGCACCATCCAACATCACATTCTCGTAGACCTCGGCCGCTCTGAACCTTCCAACCTGCCGGGTCCTTGAGGTGGTCAGGCTGCACCTTTATCCGGAGGCCTGGCCCAGTGGGTGGTTGCAGAAGTACTTGACATCCACGACTTTTGCTCGGTGTGAGCTACAACGCCTCGTATCCCTTCCCAACCGTTGGAGGCCATTTGGGATCGTGCGTTTGACGGTCTCACACAGGCCACCGGGGATGGAGCATTCCCGGCAACATGAATCCATGTACGTCTGCAGGGTCTTGACATTGCTCCAAGAGTATGCTCGTGTTAGCTTGATGAGCTCTCGAGGGTTTGGATGGGAAAGTCTATGAGCCTATTCATGCCTATGTTTGTTGCCTTCTCATGCCTATGTCTGTTGCCTTCGTCTCGCGTCTCTAACACGTCGCCTCGGAATGTTTCAACGAGGACCTTCCCATCTGACAGGTACTGCACCACCTCACGCTCCGTCACGTCCGGTGGTCGAACAGAGGGGAGAGAGAGGCACGAACCCGACGCCAAAAGTCGATTCATTTGGACCTCCCGGGGTGGAAAACCTCCGGGGGTGGAGAAAGACATGGGGGGTGATGAACCAAAGCTGTCTTTTCTTTTGAACATAGAAGCCATGTCAGTCAGCTCAGTCCTTTGACCTAGAAATGACATCTGATGATGTGTCCGAAAGCATGCCAATGCTACTGTTGCTGCTGTGTGACTGTCATCCAAGCAATCCTGACTTCTGCAACCGCAGAAGAAACCGCAGAAGAAACCGCCCGATGCAGCCAGGCACCTGCCCTCTCCAACCATTTGGTCGGAATTGGGTCTCCCTTAGCTCTTCCGACTCAACCAAAAGGTCCTGCACGGGCAGCTCTCACCGGCCCACACCCGGCAACCCCCCAACCGACGGTGTGGGGTTTATTTCACGCGTGGGTTCGTGGTGCATCACGTCACGCAGTCGAGCAGTGTGACGCGTGTGACGCTGCAGTCGGTGGTAGGTCCGATTCCAAACTGGTTCACCCAGTCCAGATCAGTTTTGCCAGCAAACATGCAACCCACCTCTTGGAAGCCTTCGAAGCGCTTTCTTCGAGACAAGCATCCAGGTAGACCCGGTCTGAGTGGTGGGCATCCAAGGATCCAAGCAGAACAGACCGTGGAGGAAGAGATCGTCAGGAGCTTCGGAGATCTTTCCAAGGGTAGCAGGAAATTTCTTCCAGAACATTTTGGACCCGCTCCTACCAGGTCCAGTGGGATTTTCTGTCGCTCCCCAATCAGGCTGATGGTTGGAGGGTCCCGCATCTTTTTAAACAGAAGGGGTAGCCATGGGGGGTGGAGTGGGTGTAGATTGTAGAAACGCAGGTTTTGTAAGGATAGTGATATGTAAGCAATAGCAAGTGCAAAATATATTCTGAAAACAATAGACACACCAAGAAAAACAATAAGTTTAGACCAAAAAATGACAAAAAAAAACAGTTCAGACCTATGTCTCCTGTCCAGCCTCTCCTGGGTATCTGTCCATGGGTCTGAACTTTTTTTTTTTGCTTTTGGCTGGTCTGCCCAAAAGTGACCAAGCACAAAAACAATACAAACAGTTCAGACCTATGTCTCCTGGCCAGCCTCTCCTGGGTATCTGTCCATGAGTCTGAACATTTTTTTTGGTTTTGGCTGGTCTGCCCAAAAGTGACCAAAAACAAAAAAACAAAAAGTTCAGACCTATGCCTCCTGCCCAGCCTCTCCTGGGTATCTGTCCATGGGTCTGAACTTTTTGTTGGTTTTTGTTTTTTTTAGTTTTGGCTGGTCTGCCCAAAAGTGACCAAAAACCAAAGAAACAAAAAGTTCAGACCTATGCCTCCTGTCCAGCCTCTCCTGGGTATCTGTCCATGGGTCTGAACTTTTTGTTTTTTGGGATTTTTTTGGTTTTGGCTGGTCTGCCCAAAAGTGACCAAAAACAAACAAAAACAAACAAGTTCAGACCTATGTCTCCTGTCCAGCCTCTCCTGGGTATCTGTCCATGGGTCTGAACTTTTTGTTGTTTTTTGTTTTTTTGCTTTTGGCTGGTCTGCCCAAAAGTGACCAAAAACCAAAAACACAAAAACAATACAAACAGTTCAGACCTATGTCTCCTGTCCAGCCTCTCCTGGGTCCCTGTCCATGGGTCTGTCAAAAAGTGCACGCAAATTATTTCTCATTCATTCTAATTAACACCAGTTCAATTCTAATTTACATTCAAATGTGCGTCTAATTGAACTTTAAATTGAATCTAACTTGAGTATGTAATACACTTCTACTTTAATTCTAAGTGGAGCCTAATTGAATTCTAAACTAAGTCTATGTAGTTTAAAGTTCGTTGTAATCAAATTCTAAATTCAATTTTTATTCTAATTCAATTCTATTATAATTCTAATTCTCTTTGACTACTTTGGGTCTAATACTAAATTCAAATTTGAGTTTAAATGTGAATTTGCAACATGTTTCTAATTCAATTCTAAGTTGAGCATAACTGAATTCAATATAATTGAATTCAAAGTGAGTCTGCAATTTTATTCTAGGCAAATTCCAATTGAATCTATTTATAATCTAATTCTAAGTCAATATTGTTCTACTAACCAGGCCCTAGGTTAAACGACGCCAATTCAAGCCTAACTCAATGTCAATTTAAGTATTGTTTTTTGATTTAATGTTGTTCCTTCAATTCCAACTTAATTCCAATTTATTTCTAATGTACTTCTATTTTATTCTGCTTTGGATTAGATTGTAATTTTGTCTATTTCAATGTATTTGTAAGTGATTTCTAATGTTAATGCCTTTATATTTCAGATTTACCTGTTTTACACATCTAATTTTACACTATTGTCATTGCTATTTAGTTTTGATTTCTATATGTCTAATCTAGGTCTAAATTTGATTCCAATTCAATGTAAATGGAATTCTAATTGAGTGTTGATTTCATTCTAGAGAGTGGGTGTTGCTGGGGGTATGAATTTATGTCATTTAAGAAAGCAAATGCTTCCATGTTTGAAAAAAATCATAAAAATCTCTCATGCTCAAAGCAACACCAACTCCCTAGAAGTAAATGAGAATTTCATAAAAACATTAAATTGAAATAAATGAAAATTTCATAAAAAACCTAAAAGTAAATTGAAAACGAATAAAACAATAGAATTGAAATTGAATTGTATAGCAGGTAGCTTAAAAGCAACTTAAAATTTGGCTTGCATCAAACCCCAAATAAATTGAACTAGACTTAAATCTGAATTTAAATATGAAGTTGAACTAAATTAGAATTTGGTTATTTAGGGTGTGTAGTTCTTTGCCTTCTGATTCTGATGTACTTACCCAATTGCGTTCAATAAGAACAATACAATTCACACTCTAAAAGCAAGAAATATGGGTTTGCATGGGGGCTGCGTGGAAATAGATTACTGCATCCAAAAACTTTTTAGTAAACACCTAACCTTTGGGATTTATGAATTTTTGTAGTACATAGTTGAATGAACTAATATGCGTACCAACTGCACATAGAGCAAAAAAAATCACTAATTTTAGAATCCTATCAATGTGGTATCATCCCCAAACAGAGCAAAACCTTACAAAATCACAACTTTCACAACCCTATCAATGTGATATCATTTGCAAAAAAAAAGGCAAAACCTTACAAAATCACAACTTTCACAACCCTATCAATGTGATATCATTTGCAAAAAAAAAGGCAACATCTTATAAAATCACAACTTTCACAACCCTATCA